ACAGTTTCTGTGTTCACTGCCGAGCTGTATGCTATTTCTCTTGCCCTGGATCATGTAGAAGCTATGCAGTACAGTAATTGTACTATTTACACTGATTCTCTTAGCTCTCTACTGGCCCTGGAATCGCTTAACGTTAGTTCTCACCCTGTTCTCATCGATACTCAACACCGATTGGCCCACTTTTCTCTATCTTCTATTTCCATCCAGTTTTTCTGGATCCCTGACCACGTCGGTATTCACGGGAATGAGCTCGCTGACACTGCAGCTAAGTCCATCTGCTCTGGTGCTATCATGGCCGTGCCTGTCCCATACATGGACTACGGTCCTGTCTTCAAGGCGCGGATTTGTGCCAGTTGGCTGTCGACTTGGAGTGAGCAACGCCATAACAAGCTTTTCCAGATAAAACCTTCTATTGGTCTTTGGCCATCTTGCTTCCATAAGGATCGGAAGCAGTAAGTAGTCCTGGCAAGGCTACACATTGGTCATAGTTTTTTAACCCATCATTTTCTTTTATCAGGTATTGACCCACCGATGTGTAGCCATTGTGACACTCAAGTCACAATAGCCCACATTTTACTGTTGTGCCATCGTTACGACCTTGAGCAGCAGCACCATTTTAGACACATTTTTTTCTAAAAGTTTACCCCTAACGCTGGACAGTGTCATTGGTAATGGTGACACTGTCCGATTAGATTGTATTTTTAATTTTTTACACACTATACGTCTTTTTTAATTCTATATAAATCTTTTACCGACAAATTATGTACAATTCAACTCAGTGTGTTATAATTTCCATAGACTCAGAAAATATAACTAACACATATTAAATAATGTTATGGTAACAATTAAAATCAGTGTTACTATACATCAGAAGATTTGTCCTGAAAATGATGCTTATTTCATGTTTGGCTTTATAAATCTGTTGAGTTTAAATGATCTTTCTAAATAACAATTTCTGTTGTTTCCTATTTCTCTAGTGAAGCTTGTTTGCTTGGTTTATTTCAGCCTATTTATAACAAGAGTCACGTGGTTGATATTCAAGACCACTGATCAACTCGATAAACTTTGGTTTTAGAAAATATACAGTTTAGTTGTTTGTAATTAAGCACAAAGCTACACAATAAGCTATCTGTGCTCTGCCTACCACCGGTATCGAAACCCGGATTCTAGCGTTGTAAGTCCGCAGACATACTGCTGTGCCACTGTGGAGCTAGAAAATATACAGGACAAGACGTCAAGTTTTAGAAAAGGTTTTGAACTTTTGTTTTAATGTAGAACATTCTATATGACTGGTGGTTTACTTAAAGAAGAGGGTGATCAGTGTGGCAGAAAAGTTTTATTAAAACAAAATTTTAACAATTTTATTATAATACATTATCGCTATCTATGTATTTATATTATACTTAATATCGAAAATATATATTTCAAGCTCTACATAATTATAATGCTCTCTATACTTTAACTAGAGCATTTGTATGTCACTGAATTTAAAAGTCAGTTAACATAGTTCTTTCACTTTACTTAATGATACAACACACTAAATGTGTATTCACGATATTCTATTTCTCAATATTTGCCAGATCATGTACATTTCAGTTAGCTTATACTTCTTGCCTACTATCTATTCAATACACGACATACAGCAAATAGTCAAAAGTTCAGACTGTATCAGTCGGCTTAGAATAATATTTCAAAATGAAAGATCGATTAAATCCTACTTTTAACATCTATTTAGACATCAACATGTAGAATATATATGATATTTCATTATACAAAGAATGGTAAGAGAGTTTAGTTTTTCTGGGTAGTGTTGATAATTTTGATCACAAGTTCAGTCTACAACAAACAGTCTAATTTTTATTTTTAAATATTAACAAGCTTCTGATCACATATTGTAATTATTCATCGACGTTTCAGTGTAAAATCACAATATCTAAATAAGACAGTTGTCACACATATTGAAACATTTATTCATAAATTAATATACCATTTACGAAAATATCTTAGTTTATAAAGTACTGATCTATGCATGTTTAGCTTAATCTTTTATGATAAATTACACCTCATGAATATCAGTTTTTAACAAGTCTCCATTTATATTTCTTACATAAAACTCATGTTTCATCATAATGCTGTGATTATTTTCTGCAAGTAAGATTACACACACTTAACGAACATACTAAAACATTTATTAGCAAAATTTTAAGACACACTACTATACTACAAACATCTTAGCTTATGAAATACTGTATTATTTTTCATACAACCCTTGTATGTTATACTCATACTACTATTTCAGTTAGAGTTTATATTTTTTATTTGTGTAAATGAACATTGAATTTATCACAAGACAATTTAACATAGATTTTGAAACATTGTAATGTATCATCTTTTACCCTTATACAAAGAACATCAAATTTTATTACTGGTTATAGTAGCTGCCTCATTCAAATAATTGATAATAAAAACTGATATATGTTATAATAGTTTTCTCGTTGACTTGTGAAAGCAGAACAGCAAGTGTTCTATGGAACATTGTCTGCCTAAAGTAACACTATCTTTAGTAATGATAACATCTTTGGCCGATAGAAATACTGTAAAAAGTACGCAAGTGAAATGATATATTTTGTCAAGAACATAGTCAAATGGATCGCATAAAGACAAACTAATGAAAGTGAATGATATTTAAATAACTGTCATTTTCAGACAATAATTGTATGCTTAAATATAGAAACTAAAACTATAATCAAAATTGGCTGTGTATTCACTTGTCCATTATCATAAGAAACAATAAATTGAAATATTTTGTCAAAAACATAATTATATGGATAGTGTAAGGATAAACTTGTGAAACAGTAAGATTGTCATAAGGTTGCATGTCAAATGTATTAGTGAAGTGTTTTATACATAAAATGGCCATATTAGCTTTAGAACATAATTAAATCTAAGCATTAATCAGATATTGAGACCTCTGTGGTGATCTCATCATTATTTTGGTTCCCCTTCGTAGATGTCATCGTGTTTGACATCATGTATGCCTGTCATGGCAGTCTAGAAATGTACCCTCTGATGCCACTTTTTGGAATAATTTGTCAAGAACATAGTTATATGGATAAAGACAAACTTATGAAAGTGCATGATATTTAAATAAGCGTCTTTTTCAGGACATTATTGTAAAAAGTATGCTTAAATATGAAAATTAAAACTATAATCAGTATGTTAAATCAAAAATGGTTATGTATTTTCTTGTCCTTTATTGTAAGAAACAACAAATTGAAATATTTTGTCAAAAATATAGTTATATGGATAGTATAAGGACAAACTGGTGAAACGGTAAGGTTGTCATAAGTTTACATGTTAAATAAGCGTCCTTTTCAGGACAATAAGTGATTTATATATAAAAGGTCAGGAAATGTGAAAAAGTGTGATTAAATATAGAACTAATGAATTAGTGAAATATTTTATATACATAAAACGAATGTATTAGTTTTAGAATATAATTAAATCTAGTCATCAATTACATGTTGAAACATTTATGGTGATCTCATCATGATGGTAGTTCCACTTCGCGGGCGTCATCGTCTTTTAAATCATGTCCCCCTGTTGTGGTGGCCAAGCAATGCATCTCTAGCAACGTGCCTTCTGGTATACCTTCATCTATGTCATCATCTCTGGTGACATCATCACATAGCACCAACATTCTCTGCTGACACTTTGTGTAATTATGGTATCATCGTCTCTCTCATTGCCTGAGGTCGACACATGTATGGCAAGTGGCTCCCTAACTACTCACCACCAACTTTGGAACAATTCTTACGTAACCAAATAATGTGAGTTGACCATCGCTTTTATAAAGCAACTACGACCGAAAGTGCGAGATTTTTTCTGACGGTAATGGGGCACTAGCCATTGGATTCACAGTTTGGTCCACTAACCACTAGGCCACACAGGGTTCTAATATCCTAGGCTAAATCCATAAAAATACATTGTTAATATTTATCTAAAGGGGCAAGTTTTATTACTAGTAATACTTTTATTAGCATTAGTGTCTCATGATAGATCAGCGATAAGTTGAAGGACTTACAAAGCTAAAATCCAGGATTAGATCCTCATGCTGTAGACATAATGAAGATAGTCCATTGTGTAGCTTTCCACTAGAAAACAACACAAACACCAAATTATCGTTAGATCATCAGGAGCACCTAACTACACAGCTTGTTTATTGTAATTACTTTTGTTGTTTTAATTCATTTAATTTCATAAAGTTAAGAATTGATGATTATTAGAGAATTATTTATTAAAATTGTTACCAACATAATGAGGTTATCTATTAACTACATCAAAGTCACAGAGTCAAAATAAATATGTCATATATAAACTGCAGGCTTATAAATACTTAGATCCAATAGTCGATCTCTTACAATCTATAAACTCTACGAAATCAACCAGGCTAAGGAAAATTAATGAAGTCAATTTTTTTCTAACATTACAGATACTCAATTCGATTTTTTCCTTTGAAAACAATATTCCTCATATATTATGTTCCAATAGCTTATTTGTACACCTCTAGCACTTTTAAAATATTTTAGCACTATCTATAATAAATATCTTATAATAATATCTTATAAATACTTATCTATTTATAATATGTTTTAAGTTTTTCTTTAAATATTGTTATCGTTGGATGTTCTGTACTTTAATTGGAATTTCGGACGTTGGAGCTGCTGGTGCACTATTAAAGTGGCAACCAACTACAATAATTCGGTTAGACAAGAATAGCCCAAGAGTTTGCAATGGGTAATGTTGTTTAGCTACATTCCTTCTTGTCTGTTCGTTCTAAATTGCCATTGGTTATGCGCAGATAACTCTTTTTGCATCTTTGCGCAAAATTTCTTAAACAAACTATACTTAAATACTACATACAAGATTTATGAAATTATGCCTTCCATTCCTTCATAATTAAAGTTTGTGAATGTGATTATATTGATTTTTCTCTACAGGCTCATGTGCTATAGAAGTGACATTCTTGATAAATGACACACTTGATGTTCCTTCTGAGCACCAACAGAAAGTAATTGAAACAGAGCTGCGTTACGAGATATCTCAGAAACTGGGAGTTCATCTTTCAAGAATTCTAAATCTAACTCTGTTGTCTAGTAAGTCTCATTTATTACCTAATAAATCGAATTCATTTAGTTACCTTATTTATGAATATGTTTTGTTTCGAGTTTTATGCCTAAGTGCAAAATTCGTTATTTCAAATCATAATTAAACCCATCTCGCGAGCTCTGCGATTATTCGTAAAACTAAGTAAAATTTATAAAGGTCACGGTTTTTTTCTTTGTGTTGCAACCTTGAACTCACAGCCCATTGACTTCTTTTTATTTCCTGTATCAATATTACTGTATGTATTTAAGGAGTCACGCTTTTTAAACGAAAAATATACAATCGGAATGTTGTTTCTTGTACTAAAATAAATATAATTTTTTTCTACATATAGAAAGAGAGTGCGTAATTTGATATATTATATCTAAACGTAGGGTCCAATGCTGTTACGTTTTTGTTTCATCCGGAAAACAAAGAAGATACTAAAGCCGTCCGAGTGAAAAAACTATCCAGGCTGTTTTCCAACGAAGGACTGATGCTTAACAATGCAACTCTAACTAACAGGCCGATTGGAGCACTGAAACATTCGTTAGTTCTCAGATACATTCCATTAAACTTTGAAAAAGGTATGTTCGAAGATATAACTTATAATGCTTAGTTTCTAAACTTACTTTCTCCAGGAAAAAATTGGTGATGACAAATAGAATGGTTTCAATCAAATAATCAGTTCGGTAGAAATGCACTACAGATTTTCGTTAAATTTGCTAAGGACTTCAGACTTAAAAACAGAAACATGCGAAATATTGCACAACTAATGGGTTCAACTATGACCGAGATCAGCTGTTAGATAATTAATAACTTGTATGAGCTGTAAGGGCAGGTAATAGAAAGTTATCATTTGGCACGAACAAAAAAAACCATTATGTTTGTTACGAAATTTATATATATTCCTACGTTATTTTAAGTAATACCACTTATTCTTTGTAATCAAGTACAAAATTAATAACACATGATAATGACAAATTGAATATGTAATGCACAGGAAATAAGTAGTTATTTACTTGTTGTATATTTATATACATGCATTACAAAACGTTCCTTTTTTTTTTACAGTGAATGCAAAAACTACCAGTCAGGAAATTGACAATATTGTCTTAAGTTTAGCAATCTCGTCCTTTGTTATTTTCATTGGATGTATCATCATGATGACATGTAGAATGACTCGGAAAATAGAACCTGTTCAGGTAAAGTATTTTGTATGTTTTAGCTTCACTGACTGACTACAGTCTGATTTAACAATCAGAAACTCTTCAGTCAATGCATAATTTAGTCGGTTAACTGGTAAAACAAATTTAGTGATTTATGATTGACTTTTTAGACATATCTTCATTATTTAACTGTTATAATTTTACTAAAAATGTATTATGCATTAACTCTAACCAAACAATCTTAATAAGAACCACACCTTATTCCAACCTATATTCAGCTTCAAACTACCAAACCTTATTAGTTTCACTGGTCATTTTAAACATATGTTAAGAATGTCAAATACACCATTAAACACCATAGAACCTACAACTGCTGTAATGGAGAGGTTAGCGTTTCGGTCAATGATCGTTTGACTGAAACGTTGAATACATAATTAGTTTTACCCTTATACAGACTTCAGCCACTACTGTGTATCATAAGGTTAGGCTGTAGCTGTTCTTATTATTCGTAGGACGACTTAACTTAAACAAAGTTTTATTATTGCGCTTAAATTATATAGACCCAAATAACTCAGTGTTAAGTCTGTGGGCGGAGTACAGATAACCAATTATGAAGCTTTGTGCTTAACAACAATTAAACTAAACTAAATTGCGTATATAGGATGACTCCATACACATAGAGCAAACAAGATATTTTAGGTGTTATGACGCAGTAACCAGTATCAATATACTGTGGAGTATTATGATGATGGCATTAACAATGAGCTTCGTTGTTTTCTCCTCCTTTCCTTATAAACTACATCATGTATACCTCGTTTGCTTCTTATGATATGGCGCACATACTCACAATACATATACGTATCGCAGCTCTATGTTACGTGCTACGAGCCAACTATAAGTGTATATCCAAGCAAACCCGTAGCCAGGTCTGGAAGTGGGGGCTCTTTTTGTTCCAAAGTGGAACTCGTTTCATGTGCCCAGGGACGAAAAAAAAAATTCCGAAATATATAATGGTTCCTTTATTATGACTGCAAATAAACATTTCCTCTGATAAGTATGAAAATCCCGTTAAACATTTCCTCTGATAAGTATGAAAATCCCGTTAAACATTTCCTCTGATAAGTATGAAAATCCCGTTTCCGCAGGTATGCACAGTGTTACAAAAGCAATTACAAAATTTAAAACAATTATTAAATTCTTTACACGTTTGTCTGCTTATACTAATTAAATAAAGACATTTTTGGAATGTTTCTTTTCTTTTTCGTACTTAAGCAGCAATTACATAATCATTCGCAAAATGCCTTTTTTTCTACACAATTTTAAGAATTTTAGTAGCAAGTGCAATTTAGTTCCTTCGTTTAATATTTTTAATACTTTCTTTTCAGAAGTGAAGTGATTCCAGCGACATCAACGTCATTCGGCAAAATATGACACTTTTATAGTAACTGGAACATTAATAGAATTCCTCTTTAATCTAGTCGGCTCGTACTATGCACCAGTGTTTGAGAATTAACATTTTTAGCACGGTATAATTGTTTATTGCTTAAAAATATTGTTTGCATCTAGTGTGAATAAAGCATGAATTATTAAAACCACACCTTGTGTTAAATATAATTAAGAAAAAGGATGACATATTAATCTGAGATTTCATAAAACAAGTTAAACACATCACCTTGTATTAAAATTGAACATATAATTATTATATTAGCAAAACGACCCATAAACTTACCACTGTAACTGTATTAAGTGCTTTAAGTTGTTAATCGATCAATTTCATTTATATGTGGGCGGGTTTAAAGGAGAGGAATACCAAGGGCTTCTAGATGTCACTTTTTGTAGCAAATCTTTCAGACAAAGATCCTTGGCAATTTGATACAAGGTTTTACCCTTGTCGTTTTATAAACACAGTAAACCGAAAAAGGCAAGCGCTATAACATCTCCACCTGTAAGATGTTTCTCTGTTGTAAGCTATACCGAAATGTTCAAGTAACTTTTTCCTCTAGGCCACTTCTTTTCTTGTGATCTCCAGTATCTAAGTAGTTAAGAATATGAAAGCGACATTTATCGACGTTTTAATCATAAGGCGATGTTCGTGTTTGTTGTTGTTTAGAGGTTTAAGGCACAAAGCTATATATATATAAATGAATGTTTATCAAATATAAAAAATTATGTAGAATTACAAAGCTCATGTGCGTAAATTGTTAAAAATTGAACAGTGTAATCAACTCAGATGAAAAGGGAAATCATGAGTTAAGATATGCCTAAAATAATGCTGTCGCTAAGTGCCGTAGTGTCAGCATGAAAGTAAAACGTGGTAAGTTATGACTTGAGTGTCACACTGCTCACACACATTGTCGGTCGCTTCTTCCTAAATACTGTTCAACTAGACGACTAAGCACTGATAATAGAATTATCCGAATAAAGCTTGTTGTGTTGTTGATCACTCCGAAACGTCTGTCAATAGGTGACGGAGCTTCAATATAACAGACTTAGAATTAACATATGCAACAAACAGAAAGAGGCCAATTTGGCGGCAGTGCCAGAAGCTCATTCCCTCGGTATCTACTCTGGCCAAGGAAATGTTGCCGTGGACTTTTAATAAGTGTTAGAAGAGTCAACGACCGCAACGTCCTTTCTTGGCTAAGTGGATGACATATGCTACAGCCAATGAATGCTCTGAGGGAACAATCGTCACATGGTTATGCCTTCACAAAAAAAAATATTATATGAACTAACTTTTAAAATAGAAGCACATATTTGCTGTCACTTCTGTGGTTTTTAACAGTAACTAGATTGCTACAAATTCGCTTTGAGAGATAGAAAACTGACAATCTACTCGACGATCCTGTAGAAGAGAATGTTCACTTGTTTATGGAAATATACAACGCTACACTTTGCTTTTGTTTGACTGTAATGAAGATTGGGCTCATTTTCCAAACCTATTCAGTCTTTTTTATTTTTCACACAGAAAATTCAATCAAGTTTTCAGAATTTTATTTGGTTAAGGTTATTTTGATATTGCTCACCTGAAAACTGCCAATTGGTGCAAAGTATTTCCTTGAGGAAATATTTAAAATCCATATATGGACTAGGAAAAGTTGAAATGTCGCCAATGGAAGCCGATTTAGCCATGGTGTCAGCAAATCCTTTCCCTTATATTCCAATATGGCTAGGAAACTAAATAAATTGGACAATAACAGAGGATAGTGAGAAATAGGTCTCTCTTTTCTGAATATTCAAGATAACTAGGTAAGAACTGATGTTAAATGATTTCAGTATTATCAGTGCATTGCTTACCTTCTCTATGATCCACATAGAATGTAATGGCATGCAACTCAACATTGAATCTGTATAAGGTGTATGAGGAGCAATAATGGAGCTCAAGCAAACCATATCACAGCCCAGCGTCACGTGATCGTAAGCCCTCTTTAAAAATAAGAAAATATCACTTAAACGTTGTTTATTAAAGAGAAATTAGTACTTCCAATTGGTAGTAACTGAATTATTCAAATACCCCAATAAAATATCACAGAGGAGTGATGTAATAAGCCTTGTTGGGATGGGTAGATTATCAGGTTCAGCAATATCTCCTTTGTCAGACATATCTCAGTCAACTTTCCCTAGATAAGAACGTCAAAAAGAGACATGGGTGCATAGCCTTTAGACACGTTGACAGGTGGGATGATATGGTAGTAATCAGAGTACTGCAGTACACTCTAAAAAAGAAAGTTGCAAATGTCTGAGATGAAGTGGAGGTTCAT